ATTAGAATTTTATTAGATTGATACGATGAAAACAAAAAGGATATTAGACCATGTATTATGATTATAAACAAATAAATAAAATGTAAATAAATAGCCTAAATGAACATTTCTCTTCATGTTGTTTATGCTAAAATCTATAAGATGCCAATGTGTTTTGAGTTGAAAGAAAATTTCATAAAGAGGAAATATTTTTTTTTCAAATGTAAATATACAGTGTATATAATAACATACCATATATCAGTGGCCACTGGATAGAAAATGCATATTGTACAGTTATTAATATTATTAGAGAAGTTGTACATAAAAACAAAAAAGATATGAGCATGTACTATAATTATGATGATAATAATAGGCCTAAATAAATACATAAATAGCAGTCGTTATTGTATGTTACGAATAAGCATTTCTCTTGGTGTTGTTTATGTTGTAGAATATGCATAGCTTAAAACAGGGCTCTGTCAAACTCAGTTCCTGGGGGACCGGGGCCCTGCAGAGTTTAGATTCAACCCTAATTAAACACACCAGTCCTTCAGGCTTGTTTGAAAACTGCATGGTATGTGTGCTGAAGCAGGGTTGAATCTAAACTCTGCACACCCCTGCCTTAATATATAAGCTGCAGGTTCCATCGCTGCATCACAGGAAACGGAAACACAGTGTGACAGCGTAACCGTGGCGTGCAATTCCGTTTCCGCTCCAGTCGGGATTTGTGTCCGCTCTGCAGGAATGTGTGGAGATGCTCTCGCTGGGGGAGAGGTAACAGCCGCACCTTCCTGCTGACAGATGAACCCACTCACGGCGCGCCGCGTCTTCGGCTCTCGGCACTGAGGGAAGCGGAGACACACTCGCATCCGCGCGGCTGCAGGTCGCTCCCAGTATCGCACATTCCCGGACTCGCGTGACTGACTGAAGCTGCTCCTCCTCCTCATGGCGAAAAACACCCTGTCCTCACGATTCCGGGGAGTCGACATCGACGAATACGACGAGAATAAATTCGTGGACGAGCAGGACGAGGCGGCCGAGCAGCAGGGACCGGACGCGTGCGAGGTGGACCATCTGATCAGGCAATATCCTTCAGACCAGTGCTGCTGTCATGCTCGATCATACTGACGGGTCGTGTTTATCATCTCTGTAAAACATGCCAGGAGGAAGTTCATCTCTCTTAAGGTCACCCAAAAACAGCCTGGTCCTAGTTTAGATGTAGCTCATGCATGATTTACGCACAGGTTGTGTCTCAAACCCCAGTCAGCTGCCTACCGAGGCATCAGCGCCCCTGTGATGTCCAGAAGTGCTGTCCGGTGTCTAGACAGACAGACAGATCACTGTGAGTTCAGCCAGTCATAGAGTGAACGTTAATAATAGTGAACCTGTCTAATAGGTGCACAGTGCGTGTGATGTTGGACAGTTTTAGGTTTATAAAAAAATATTGCTGTTTTGTATTTAAAGTAACAGTTTATTTAGTGGAGTTATTGGTGGTGCTGATTACTTTCCTTTCTAGTTATTTTATGTTATTTAAAATATTTTATAATATAAGTATTTGAAATTTTCGGTTATATATATATATAGATATATATATATATAATTTTTTTATTTCTAGTTTATTTCTGTTTTATTTCAATCTCCAGTAAGTTATCACTCTGATTAAGTTTTTTTAAGATAATTTTTTTCTGGCTTTAGTTTAGTAAACATCAGTTTTTAACTTATAGATCAATTACATTATGTTTTTAAATTTTTTGAGGGCTATTTTGATATTACACTGACTGAAAATATTTTTTTTTTATTAGTTTACTTTTGGTGCCACGGACATTTTAGTTTCATTTTAGTTTTTTACATCCTTAGAATAACCTTGAATATGACATGGTCATGCAGTTTTGACGTGATATATAGTCTTCGGTTGTGTTTTTAAGTGACACACCAGTGTTGCCAAATCAGAAAGCAATTATTTTGTTTCATTGAAAAAAACTCCCCCTCTTTCCCCCCAGCTGTGCATGAATGTCATTTATTTAATCAGGTCATCAGCGGTTGTAACTGGAACGATCCATTTCTGGTGCACATTTTTAGACTGTAAGAGCTTAAGAGGTCTGAATCGGACATCTCACCCTCTAATATAATAAAGACATGAATTGCATGTTTGTGTCATCAGCATATGGATTATTATAGTGTCGGTTTTGCATTTTCTTTTGATCATTATTGATTTCTTTAAAGGAGGATGATTTTGTGCATAAAGGTAGTGAATATTAATACTCAGATCTCTGAAATCTTTAAGTGCGTAATAATGATTGTTTTCAAACTGGTTTCTTGAACACTCGCACCTCATCATCCATTGGTTGGACAAAAGACATAGTCCCGCCCCAAAAGTGTTGCTGTTTCGGGCTGCTCGGGCTGATTAAACAGAACAATGTTTTTATATGCCACAGAGAAACAGTTTACACTTTTCAGAGAACTATAAATGATTTATTTTTAGTTGTCTCTGCATATAGGAGGAAGTATTTTAACACGAGAAAAATTACAAGCTTCAGATTTAAACCTCATTCGTAATCAACCAGTGAGACAAATGCCAGATACGTTGTTTTTAACACCAGCTTCTCTGTAAACTTTTTGAATATTTTCCAAAGTTTTAACCGCACTAAAAACAAGATTTACTCCACATCTAAAGAATGCTCTTTGGGGTTTTTGAGAGTCTCTGATTGGTCGGTCAGCTTTCCTAAACTAACTGATGCACAGGGGACATGATGACAGCATTTCACATCGCATTGAGGAATCCACCAATCAACTCCAAGAATCCAGCAGTGAAAGTAAGAGCCAGTTCTGTTACTCAGACGTCAGACAGTTTGATGCATTGCTTTCAGATGTTCAAGAACACTGTTATTAGGGGCCCTATTTATGCATAACAGATTGTCATAGCAATGACATGTCATGTGTCTGAAATGTGCTGTTCATTTGCCTTTGGAGTGTGAATGGAATGAATGGTGTAAACATTAAAATACTAGATTTACATATATAAGAATTTTTGTTGAAATTATATTTTGGTGCATCACTAGTTATTATGCGTCCATCGAGTGCATATAGAATTTCTCTTTTTGATTAGTGTTTGTCTTTTTCACCTCCTGCACTTGTTTGTTGCGCTCCCTCCACCTCCTCTCTCAGGAGCGGGCACAGGTGGTGGTGTTACGAGTGCTGACTGCATTCAAGAGCAGCGATATCGAGCCGGCCGTGAAGTCTCTGGACAAGAACGGAGTGGACCTGCTGATGAAGTACATCTACAGAGGCTTCGAGAAGCCCTCGGACAACAGCAGCGCCATCCTGCTCCAGTGGCACGAAAAGGTCGGTCTATGGATTAAAGAGACTTGATCTTGGAGTATGTTTTTCATCTCACACGTCTATTTGTGTTATTGTCTTCTCACTCAGGCTTTCGCTGTGGGGGGTCTGGGGTCCATCGTACGGGTGCTGACTGCGAGAAAATCTGTCTGAGAAGCCGAAAGAAATCGAGAGCTAACCAGCCACGGGATTTGTTTCTCTTTCTTAGACACGGACAGCTTCTTCTTTCACAACTCAACCTTATCTGGGGGGAAACCACTCATGCTCAACCGATTATTTCACTCAAAAGCAGAGATACTGTATGATATTTAATGTAAATGATTGATTCTTCAATATGTTATTACGGAAGACACGATTCTCGACTAATGAAGGTGAACGGTTGTGCGACGGAAGGACGATGAGTCTCATGACGAGACTTTGCTGTCTAAGCCTTGATCAGCAGTTTCAGGACACGAAATACTGTGATGAATATGAAAGTTGTATTTGCGGGTTTTTTTTTTTTTTTTTAAAAGGGGAAGACAAAAAAAGGGGAACCTAATTAAAAAAAAAAAAAAAAAAAAAAAAAAAAACTTATTGCAGCTAATTGATTAACATCTCTCATTTTCATGTAGTTTATCTTAATGTACTAAAATAACAAAAAATAAAACCGATAGAAAAATATAAAAAAATTACAGAAACTTGAAAATCTGTAAATAAAAATGAATTCTAACTATTAATAAAAACTAGTAAAACTATTGCAATTGTATTTCAGTGATACTAAAATAAGTTACAGATCTGATAAACTTCTCAGGGACATACTTTTTAGACACTTTTTCAGTTTATATCTTCATTAGAATAAAAATAAAAAATTCTGTCCTAATATGCATATCAGTCATGTCTGGTTCTTTATTTTGCACCTCTATAGGAACCTTTTAACCGGTTTTGCTATGTCCAGTTATTTGGAAAAGTAACAGTATACTTAAGTTAATAGTACACCCAAAAAAACAAAAATCCTCAGTATTTTTTTACATCAATTCAAATATGTAAACATCCTTAAATCAAGATCCATTTACTTGAGATGCAAAATGAAGATATTTAGTCGTTTTCTGAGAAACTGAATACAATTAAGTGTATAGAGTAAGAACAAATATCTGCCAGTGAGGTATGAATTTTTTTAAGCTCATTGGCAGATATTTGTTCTTGTTGAAATCATAAACTCGCCTCATTTTAATACATTTCTGAGGAAACGAAGACTTTTCTTCTCAAGTACATGGATCTTGATTTCAGAATATTTAAGACATTTGCACTGGAAAACAACAAATGCTGCTTACGAATGTCACTTTTTTTGTGGTGTGATCAGATGGTACAGTAAAAATTATTTCCATATTCTAGTGTTTGAGAGCAGAGCTATTCGAACTAAGCTATTTTTTTTTTATTTTGGAAAATCATTTAAAAAGCAATGTAGATTTGTTGGAAGCTGTAATTTCACATTTTGCAGTGTTGCTAATTCAACTCATTGTGCGCTCCCTAGACATTTTCTTTACTTGGTCTTACAAAGGTCTCTGATCATTGATCTTCTGTTAGTTCTGGTCTGCAAATGATTCAGAAATGCTTTCTCATCACTTTCAGATCCACTGAACAAAAGCACTTTAGTCAGCACTGGTAACCACACAGACGCACAAATGTGTCTTCAGACAAAGTCACTGAGAAAGATTTTAATTTTTGTCAAGTTTTGATATTCCTGACATACCATGAAGTGAAACCAAAGTACGGATGTAGTGGTATTTTGCTGAAAGCAGATGCAATGGATACTGTGACGGCTACAGTATCATAACATCAACCAAAACATGAATACAGTTGTAGAAAAGTGCATTTTGGATCTTTCTATAAAAATCTCATTCCGAAGCGGTTCATACACAGGCCATTTATCTGCATTTTCCAGAGAACCTTCATTTACGGCAAAACAAATTCTCAGAATCGACTGATTCAAACTTCATAATAGGAGTTCTATCAGTCTTTACATAAAACAGAAATCTTTGGGATTCTTTTTCTAAAAACAGGTAACACGTTAATCATACCGCAGAGATATTCAGCTATTTTTACCAGAAGAGTGTCATTCAGAGTGTTAACCTTAGTGCTGATGTGGCCTTGAAGTGTTAAAACACACAAAATTACATTGTTCTGACAGCAAAACACTGGCTCTGACTCAAAACCACTTTGTTTTCACAGGGAAAAAGGAGAGATGTTTCTTTTGACATGTTCTCAGAGAAATAGAAATGCAGTTAGCCTTGAATGTTAAGGCTTCAAGTGTACTCAAATGCTTCAGTATACACTCAAAACCAAAGTCCAATCAAAGCATTCGGTATAAGGCATGCATGCTTGTTTCCTCAGTCTGTGCATATATGCCTTTATATTACAGTTTCAAGCCCACAGTGAAGAATCTCGCACGCATATACGCACATACACACTCATATGATCACAGTTTTGAGACTAATGCATGTGTATGATGACAAAAGAAAAAAACCTTAAGGTATGTATCCACTGATTTATAAATCCTCATCACTTATATACAGGTATTCATATATAAATACTTGTATGGAATGTACGTAACTGTAATTTACACATAAACAAGGCAGATTAAAGAAAGATGCTTCCACATATTCAAAATCACAACAGTATGTGAAATCCCATTCCTGATTTTCACTGACGTCCGGTATTGGAGGAAAAGGGCATGCGTTTGTTGTCTATATGAGGACCACTGAAATAGAGCAGCGCATATGATTCCCCCAACCGTGATTTCAAGGAGCTCAGATTGGAGTTCCAAAAAAAGTAAATGAAAATAAGAATCGTTTTCCATCCTTTTCCAGTTGAAGGATGTTGGAAACAGCAGTTGTAGAAACTACGGAGGATATGAATGAGACGGATGATGCCTTTTAACCATTACTTAAAAGATGAAATTCCCCAGTCACGAAAAGATGTTGATAAAGCATTTGTTTCCAGTCCCTGCAATATTTTAGTGAAAAATGGAGAGAGTTGTTTTGTGTCCCATTGTTTAAAGGGCATGAGCTACATAGGAACTGTTGAGGCAGAGACTGAAACTGCGGAGTCGGCAATTGCTCCCTCCAGACGTCAGTAGTTTTCTACTGAGATCATTCACTATTTCACTTTTTTTCAGAGTATTTGTCTCTCAGCTCCAACTAGAGGTTCCTGAGATGGAAGGCCGTATGATACCTTTGGGTGTGGGCTTGGAACCAAACCATGACATCTGAAACGCACATAAAACATTAAGACTTAAACAGCGCTTCTATCATTTAAAAAACACAGAAATCTCGCCACCTCGTTTCATCTGTGCATAAGATGTTTGAGAATGTTGTGACTAGGAATGCACTGCTATAGAAACTTTACTGAATTTCTTAAGTTGTTTGTTTACCGTTAACTTACTTCAAAATAGTTACAGTACAGTACAGTTTTTTTAAAGAAATGAATACTTTTATTCAGCAGCACAACTGTTATCAACATTGATAATAATAAGAAATGTTTCTTGAGCAGCAAATCGGCACACTGGAATGATTTCTGAAGAATCATGTGACACTGAAGACTGGAGTAATGATGCTGAAAATTCAGCTTTGCATCACAGGAATAAATTGCCTTTGAAAAACATATACAAAAAAACTAAACTTATTTTAAATCGTAATATTTCACAATATTATTGTATTTTTGATCAACTAATTGCAGCCTTGGTGAGTCTAAGAGACTTTTCAAATACAAACATCTTACTGTACGGTAGTGTACATTATGTTTAATGTGATTACTGAACACATACTTCTGATAATTAACAGTAAATACACAGTCAATTATCATTAATATATTTATAGTTATTAATAACAATAATATTATTAATGTATTAATTTAATAATAATAATGGGAATGTTTATTATCAAAAATTATTATTATTGTTTAGAATTATTACAACAATTATTAACTATTTAAATAAATAATTATCCACTTTTTGATGCCAATAGCTGATTATTTTCATGTTTCGGCCTGTAACTAATATGATTATGCCGCCTGCTTTTAGAAATAGTACTAACACAACAGCTTCAATCTACAAGATGTTTAAAATTAAATTATAAATCTACAGTAGAAAAGACGAATCACTATTCCCCTTTCGAGATTGCGCAAAGAGAGAGAGAGAAGTGAAAAATAATAAATGCTACATATTCTGCTTTTCTGATCATTAAAAAAAAACATATGTACATTACTAGTGACATTTAACCCGATTTCAAATAAAGTTAAACTTCTGTATTAAAACAATCAACCTTTTCCACAAATCCTCCACATAGGCCACAGGGTACCTTTGAAAAGGGGCGGCAGGGATTGAAGCGGTGAGCGTAATGTAGCACAGTGATGTGCGGTGATTTCCAGCACTGCTGCTGGGGTGAGCTATAAATACCTGCCAGCTGCTATTCCTGACCGTGTCACTGAGTGCTATTGGTTTGATTCAGAGCGGTGAGCCAGATATCCTGACCCACATTGTTAGCTGCCTTAGCAGAGTGGCCGAGTTAGCTCATGGGTGCGGAGGAGAGCACTGCTGGGTGTGATGAGGCTAGAGAAGAACGCAGGCTGACCTCCATCATACTTACAGATTTATGCATATACGTTTGTTTCTCACACACCTTGTACTCCAGTGTCTGTTTGAGCATGTCCTCTTCTTCTTTTGTGAAATGCAGAAGTACAGAAATGGCTCTGATGAGCTGGAAAGCCTGAAGAGAGAGACAGAGAGACTCAGAGAGAGGTAACCTCTCATGGGAGAATTCATACAAGCAACACTTATACTGCTGTAGTGAAGAGTTAGCAGAGGACTCTCTAGTGTTTGAAAATCAGTGATGCACACACCAACTGTATTGAAGAGGTGAATTAGGGTAAATAATGTACCAGAAAATCTTTTATAGGACACCGTGGCTCCATTAATCTGCATTATAAATTAAATGCTTCTGCAACAAAGGACGACCGGATGTGCTTAATATGTTTTTGCAAATGTAATGCTTTTTTCAGGATTCTTGGATCAATAGAAAGTTCAAAGGAACAGCGTTTATTTTAAATATAAATCTTTTGTAACATTATAAATGTCCTTACTGTCACTTTTTGTCAATTTACAGCATCCCTGCTGAATAAAACTATTAACAGAATTCACCCAAAAATGTACATTTGCTGAAAATTTGTTTCTTCATTAGCACAGATTTGGAGAAATTCAGCATTACATTACTTGGTAACCAAAGGATCCTCTGCAGTGAATGGGTGCCGTCAGAATAAGAGTCCAAAGCTGATAAAAACTCAAACCACGAGTAATCCACACAACTCCAGTCTATTAATTAATGTATTGTAATGTGAAAAGCGGTGTTTGTAAGAAACAGATTAATCTTTAAGGCATTTTAACTTTAAACCATCACTTCTGGCCAAAATACCAGTCCATAATCCATAATTATTTATGGATTATTATGTTTTTATCAGCTTTTTGGACTCCCATTCTGACGGCACCCATTCACTGCAGCTGAAAAAACTCAATTACATCTTGGATGTCTCAAGGGTGAGTAGATTTTTAGCAAACTTTCATTTCTGGGTGATCTATTTAAAAAAAAAAAAAAAAACTAACAGACAAAACATTTGGATGGTAGTATATGGGTTTTTTCCCCCACTTGGTCACTTAATCATCTGCCAGGATACAAACTAAAGGTTAATACTTATTTCTAGGAGTCTGCTTTAATACCTAACTCCAAGAATGATCAGCAGTAATAAATGACACCTTAGCAAGAAACACTAATTACATCAGTCTAGTGTAGCAAACAGGTCAGATACCCATCAAGCCCTCACCTCTGCCTCTCTGCAGGACATGAACTTCAGCACCACGTGTTTGAGGTACTCAAAGTTGATCTCTCTTGTGTCTGTGAGGTCTGAACTGTTGGTGACTGTGGTGTTGGAGGTGATGGGAGGTGGGCCTGAAGTTTGAGGGAGTCCTGGAGCTGAGGTTGGAGCTGTGGCGGGCATCTGTGTCTCTGAGACCGTCTTATCAGCTGATCTCTCCTGCCTGCCTTCCTGGAGTCTCTCCTTCATCTCAGAGTCAGGATCTGGCTTCAGTTTCTGTTGCACAAGCACTCTGTGAGGAAATGCGTACCGACAGCTGATGTGGACTTTAATGCTTCTGAATAAACATACGAACCAGCTCTTTCTGCAGTGTCCTCTTGAGTTCTGCAAGCCTCTGCTGTAGCTGCTTTATTGTCTGGGGGGGGAAAAAACACAAATATTTAAGTGCAAATACTAGTGATTGTGTATGAATTTGAATATTCAAAACAATCCCTGGTTTAAATAATTTTAAATCTTTCACTGAATCAAAGTCAAAGCAGTTACTGAATCCAACCTACTCACCGAAAAACATTACTTTTGGACATGTCCGAATCGAACTGAAACAAACCGTTTCGTGTTCTTAAGATTTGAGAATTTGAATATCATTATCATAAGTTTAATATCAAAATCAATATGATTTGCCAGGTAATATAAAAACGTGTTAAGAAATCTGCTGTTTTTTTGTTTTTGTTTTGTATTGCTTTTTCCAATAAATGACAATTATGCAATGATTCAAAAAATTATAAATGAATAAAACATTAAAGTACATTTAAAATCTAAAAAAAAACTATTAAATATATAACCAAAACAGTATTTTTTATAAAGGTTACTTATAGGGGTTTGAACCAGTGATATTGCGATACAATTATAAATACGTATTTATTCATTTTTTTACATTTCAAATCAATTTTTATATTTATATTATCCATTTTCATTATCATCTCAGTTTTAGTAATTTTGTTGTGTCTGTCATTTTTTGTTTTTTTTTATATATATTCAGTTTTAGTTATTTTAGTATGTCAAGTTAAACTAAATTAAAAGAAGTAATGCTGCCTTAGAAACTAGCTGAAATAAAGAGTTTTTATA